TAAATCCTTAACATGAGAGCACAACCTCCTAGTTGTTTCAGAAAGCAGGGAAAGGAAAGAAGAAAGATGTTTTGATCAACAGCATCCTCTGGGCTGAATGACATAGTATTTTGCTGTACCTGCTGTGTGTGTACTACAAGAAAAATCAGCCACTCCTCTGCAAACCAGTGATCTACTCCTGGAGCCAGATGGGTTCAGATTAGCAGAAGCATCACAGGTAGATGTGGGAGACTTTTCACTGTGGGAAGCTCAGGGCTGTAGAAATCAAAGTTTGCCTTGAGCTGGTGCTTTCAACAACATGAGTTACAAGATATAAGACTGGAAAGACAAGGTTTTATATAAAACAAGTTAAGCAAACAACCACCAATAGGTACAGGGCAGCAGCATAAATTGTTCTCATCAGCCCTAGACTCTCTCTGCCTCACTAAATCCTACTCCTCTGGGATCTGACAGGTATATTTTCCCTGCATAGATTCCAACTTAGAAGCTGAGACTCCACAGCCAGGGTAATGTAACAGATAGCCAGAAGCTCTGGCCATTTGTTCTTTGCAATTAAAAGGCCTAACCTAAAAATATAGGAATTGTTCTTACTCCAGAAAGAGAACAAAAATACACCACCAATAGGTACAGGGCAGCAGCATAAATTGTTCTCATCAGCCCTAGACTCTCTCTGCCTCACTAAATCCTACTCCTCTGGGATCTGACAGGTATATTTTCCCTGCATAGATTCCAACTTAGAAGCTGAGACTCCACAGCCAGGGTAATGTAACAGATAGCCAGAAGCTCTGGCCATTTGTTCTTTGCAATTAAAAGGCCTAACCTAAAAATATAGGAATTGTTCTTACTCCAGAAAGAGAACAAAAATACACTTTCTAGGAAATGCCCTGCAGCAGCAATGGCTTGTGAATCCTGAGTGAGGAAAATGTCTGCGGGAACAAGTCTATGGCCAGTGGGTTTCCACTGGCTCTGCAGGGCTCCTGACTGGGGCAGAAGCAGCACATGAGGGGCTTCCTCATTTTCAGAAAAAAGCAGCAGCAAAATATGCCTGATTTGGGGGCAACACAACACACAAAACCAACCATCACAGCCTGTACAGCTCCTCAGGCAGCTGCAAGCAGGCAAGGACAGACTGACACGGCACCTGAGTGTTAATCATCAGATCAGGGAGGAAAAACCTTCACAAACACACATAGGGTGACACTGTCTTTTTTGTGGCCTGTATTCAGTGAGGCTTCCACTTTTGACTACAGGCAGGCTACTTTAAGGGTGCCGTTTTCCCCAGCTGGAGATGGTGCCAAGAGGAGGCTGCTCTGCTCCAGGCAAAGCCTCTTGGGTTAATTCAAAATCACAGCCAAGGGGCACTGAAACAAATCCAGCTGGTTTGTCTGAAAGGGCTGGAACACTGTTCACAGGATCCCTTCTGCTGGCAGAGCTCTCTGGGCAGGAGCCTCCAGTGTCAGAGCAACATCAAAGAGCTGGAAGGCAAAAAAGCCTCCTTTGCAGCTGCCTGCAAAGTCAACATCTGCCCACTCTTCAACAGGGCCATGCTCACCCCAACAGAACACCTCCCTCCCTAGTGGGTGCCTTTCCTTACACTCAGAACTCATGCAATACTGCTCTGGTCCTTCAACTCTCTTGGAATTACAGCTCCCCCTTTGCATTATTTGAACTTAAATAATGTCAAAATGTATCTAAACCATTGATAAACCACTGATGCTGTGTTAGTACTTATATCCCCAACTGTGACTGGAGCTTCAGGGGTCATCCTATCAGATATAATACAATATTCAAGTGGGAAACATGTCTCAAAGCAGAGCAGAGCTAAGTCTCTGACCTTGGGCAACTTAATGTAGAAAGTAACACTCAAGATCAACTCACTAACCCATCACAGATGCTCCAGAATTTACTCACCTGCTATACTATTAGTTAGTACCATATTTAGTCTTTACTAAAGAACTCCAGGGATTCACGAAAAAGGTAACAGCAGAGGTTAACATGACCTACAGAGGTTCCTGTTCCTAAGCCTCATCCTCCCACACCAGCTTTCCTTGCTGATACAAACCCCTGAGAATGCCCACAGACCTTAACAGCTTTAGATCCAAGCCTCAAATTTACAACTCCATCCATGTGACTCCCAGAAAAACAGATGTCAGATGTTTCATGTATTCAAACTGACTGAGCAGTGGGCCAGTCATTTCAAACATAGAATAATGGAATATGCAGAGTTGAAAGGGACTCATCAGGATCATTGAGTCCAACTCCTGTCCCTGTGTAGGGCACCCCAAGAATCACCCTATGTGCCTGAGAGCATTATCCAAACACTTCTTGAACTCAGGCAGGCTTAGTGCTGCAACCACTGCCCTGGGGAGCTTGTTCCAGTGCTCAGCCACCCTCTGGGTGAAAAACCTTTTCCTGATATCCAACCTAAACCTCCCTGTTTCAGCTTCCGGCCATTTTCCTACCTGCCTCTGGTTGGCACACGTGACATCTTTGGAACCTATAAAACAACGGCCAAGGGCACAAAACAAACATCTGTTAAGGGCTCTGAAAACAGAAACTGACCTACAAAGCACATCTGAATTTCAAATGTACACAGGAGCCTCCTTCTTGGCTGAATATATTCTTCTGGCATTTTACAAGCTAGTTGAGAGAAGAGGGAAGGTCTGTTTGTTTGTTTGATTACAGGCATGGGGTTTTTCAAAAGCTCTCCCTGCTGGCCTGGGTCTGTTCCCAGCTCAGCACACAGAGTTTTACAATGCACTTTCATGGTCAAAAGAGAGTGAGAGGCCAGTTTCTAAAGCTTCTAACTACTCCTGCCCCAAGGCCAGCATCTCTGGAGGGATCCTTTTAATGTAGGTCCAGGAAACAAATCCCCAGCATGGTTTTTGTGAACTACCTTGCAACATCACTAGTGCTCCAGGTGGCAGAAAGTCACTGTGAATAATTCATCACATACACTCTGGCACATCTCCTGTGCAAGACTGAATTATTCACAAACATTTGTGGGTTTTTAAATATATCTATAGATGGTAAACATATGGTAAGCAGCAATGAGCGGCTCACTGCTTTTAGTCTTCCAGTTGAGAGAAGTATTTATAGAATCACAGAATCATAGAATGGTTTGGGTTGGAAGGACCTTAAAGATCATCTAGATCCAAACCCCTGCATGGGCAGGGACACCTCCCACCAGCCCAGGTTGCTCCAAGCCCCATCCAACCTGCCCTTGAGCACTTCCAGGGATGGGGCAGCCACAGCTTCCCTGGGCAACCTGGGCCAGGGTCTCACCACCCTCACACTCAGTAATTTCCTCCTAATGTCTTAGCTAAATCTCCCTTCTTCCCATTCTCCCTTGTCTTATCACTACACACCCTGATAAAAATTCCATCCCTAGCTTTCCTGTAGCCCCTTCAGTTTCTGGTAGGCCACTTCTCCTCATCACTAAAACCAGAAAGACAGCTACACACTCCCTGCTGTGTTGCTGGAGCCCACAGCTCACCTTCAGATCCCTGTGGATGATTGGTGTTTTACACTGATGCAGCCTGGCTACGGCTTCGCAGGTGTCACAGAAGATCTGCAGGACCTCGCTCTCCGTGAAGCCCGTCTGCAGGCGCTGGTTCATCAGGTTCACCACCTGACCTCCTGCAGGGAACAAGCACCAAGAGTCAGGGCAAGTACACAAAACAAGGCCTGCTCCAAAGCCCAAGTTCGACAAGACACACCTCGTCTTAGGCAGCTCCCCACTGAGCTGTGGTTGTGCAGTCAGCACACAAGACATTCAAGAGTTCAAATTCAAAATTCACAACAAGCCCTGGCCAGAGACTTTCTGCAGTCTCATCTGGTTTTGTGCTCATTTCCTTACCTAAAGAGGTTCTCCTCCCTCTCTACTCTGCCCTGGTGACGCTGCATCTGCAATATTGTGTCCAGTTCCAGTCCCCTCAGTTCAAGGACAGAGAACTGCTTGAAAGAGTCCAGCGCAGAGCCGCAAAGATGATGAAGGGAGTGAAACATCTCCCTGATGAGGAAAGGCTGAGGGAGCTGGGTCTCTTCAGCTTGGAGAAGGCTGAAGGGAGACCTTGTTAATGTTTATAAATATCTAAAGGGCGAGTGTCAGGAGGCTCTTGCCAGTGAGGTTCAATGATAGGACAAGAGGCAATGGGTACAAACTGGAGCACTGGAGGTTCCACGTAAACATGAGGAAAAACTTCTTTCCTGTGAGGGTGACAGCCCTGGGACAGGCTGCCCAGAGAGGCTGTGGAGTCTCCTTCCCTGGAAACATTTAGAACCCGCCTGAACACGTTCCTGTGTGACCTAGTCTAGGGGATCCTGCTCTGGCAGGGGGGTTGGACTAGATAATATTTCAAGGTCCCTTCCAATCCCCACTATCTGTGATTCTGTGCAAATACCAGAGGGTTTTCCATATCTGTGGGCAGGCCTTGCATCTTGCCTTTGAACAATGCTTCGAGAGCAGCAAGTTAGCTTCTAAGGCCTATGTTCATCTGGCTGTGTTAACATGCAAATATAATTCTGACTCAGCTACATCTTTTTCTTTCTTCTTCAAAATACTTTTTTTTGGTCAAACTAGAGGAATAAAAGGCTAAATTTGGGGCACTCACAGCTCAGAAAATAGTTTGCCATATGCAAGCAAGAGAAGGGAGACAGACACTCAAAAAGCCCCTAATAGGTTTGGTTAAAGTCAGAGACTGGCAAAAGGATTAAAAAAATCAATCTGTAACAAGGGAAACTCTAGGCAAACAAAAGCAGCTTTTCATGAATGAGTCCTGAATTTGCGTCAACTTTGAGGTTTTGTTGCCATCAAGATCTTTCCAAAGTAATCCAGAGGTTCTTCTCCCCCCTCAAAACACTCAGTATACACAAAGGAAAAACTCCTTTCTGAACCTTCGGCAAAGCAAAAGTGCATCATTCCACATCAGGAGTGTCAGAAAACTATTTTCAGGGTACAAAAGAAAAGCTCAGCTCAATAAATAGTACAGCTGTGAAGAGTTTGCACTCCAAGTGAGTACAGTTCTGCTCATAAAGACACACTGATTTGGTCTGGAAGCTGTGTGACAAAAAAGGAGAGCAACAAGGGAGAATCTAATATATATCAGCAATTCCTGTGCTTCAGTCTGAGTGCTGGAAACAGACGCAAGTGTGTGCCCAGCAGAGCATCTGGCAAGAAGTAAACCAGGAGTTCTCTTCCTTGCAGATGGAAGGAAACACCTTAGGGAGATGGATTTTAGTTCCTCAGCCCAAAATCTGACAGAGGGGAGGCTAATGCAGCTGGAGGGAGCATGTTCTGCATTGCTATGGTTTGGACTTCCCTCCACAGCAGGGGCTGCAACCTGGAGCTGAACATGGATTTACTAGCACTGCCAGGTCTGCTTCTTACAACACTCCTTGAGATGTTTAGGTTTGAGCTTACAGAGAGCTCACACAGTGATTCCTTCAGCAAAATTACAATTTTACAGAATCACAGAATCATTCTGGTTGGAAAAGACCTTTAAGATCATTGAGTCCAACCATAACCCAACTCCACCAACCATTAACCCAACCCTACCAAGTCCAGTGCTTAAACCACATCCTTTAGCACCGCATCTGTAAGTCTCAAACACTTCTAAGGGGATTCAGTCACCTCCCTGGGTAACCTATTCCAGTGTTTAATTACCCTTTCAGTGAAGTAATTTCTTCTAGTATCTAATATGAACCTCTCCTGGCACAACTTTAGCCCATTTCCTTTTGTCCCATTGCTTGTTACTTGGGAGAAGAGACCAGCCCCCACCATGCCACCAGCAAACAAACTCAACACAAGTTCGTCAAGGTTCCTGCATTAGAAGGAAGCAGCAAGGAGGGCATAGCAGAACAGAAAGCTGCACTGCACATTTAAAGGCATTTTAGCATCTAGTTGTTCTTGCTGCACTACACCTGGCTTCAGTTAAAATCCAAACAGTCCCAAGAACACCTACGTGCACCAGCTGCCACCATCCAAAACAGCCACAGACTTCTGAAGTCACCTGGCCAAAACATTACTTTTGCTTAACAATGTTCCTGTGAGAGGCATCTGGGCACAGCACAGGCATCATTCTCCAAACATTTCCACATCCTAGCCATGGGAGATCAAAGCCTTGGGACAGCTGGAAAAGACTAGAAGAGCCTGTCTGGCTAGAGGCAGCTAAGCAGAAAGGTCAGAGGTAAAAGGAATACTTTTTTGCTTCACATTATCCATTTCAAGCTTCTTCCAGAACAATCCTAAATCAGGCTGAAGTGGAAAAAGCTTGCAACATGACAAAGTGAGGAAGAAGAATTTAATCCCACAGCCTGACAGCTTTAGAAGAGCCACTTCTTGTGTGGACCAGCCTACAGAAAACAGCAATATACATTTAAGGGTTCTCCTCCACAACAGAAAGCATCTAGGACCACTGTGGGCAGTAGCAAAGGTGGTCCTAGTCCTACTAACAAGGTCAACATAACCTCACCCACTTCACATTCATTTTTAGCTTTGCTTTGTTCAGAAGGATTTCTTGGTATCCATGAAAGGAGCAGACCGAGGAGTAGGCTTTGGTTTTATAAAGCAAGACGATATGCAAGTTTCCTGCAAGCACTGAAAAGGGACAAACCTCTCATTGAACAATGCATGGAGTCCACACTGACCTCGACAGAAGTCCATTAGGATCAGCACCTCCCACACATCCCCGCTGCTCACAGAGTTTATGCTGGAATCAATGTATCCAACAATGTTCTTGTGGCCAGACAGGTCCCGCTGTAAGACAAACAAAATCAAAGCATAAACCAGCCACACAGAGCAAGCAACATTTTCATCTGGTTCCTCCACACTGCAGAGCTTCCCCAGCTTTCCTCCTGTCTAGGCACAAACTTCTGTCACTTGGGATTAATCATCATCAAAAATCTGCACAAATTTGAGGTCTGCCTCTGCTTGTTCTCCTTCCTGAAGGATTTGAAACAAGCAGCAGAGAAAAGCCAACCTGGAGAATTAACTTGTCCAGGGATCAGTCCAGATTTCTGCATGTTCCCTTAGAAGGCCAGGTAGGCCCCTCCTAGCAGGGGGCTGGCACCTGATGATCTTTAAGGTTCCTTCCAACCTTAACCATTCTGTGATTCTATGATTCTGATAAGGCTCAGCCCAGCAGACCTGCCAAGGGAGGAGGATACCAGCTCTCACCTTCACTTGCCAGGCTAGTCACACATTTCAAAGGGCCAACAGAGATACAGAGACAATGGAAAGCACCAGCAAGTAAAATCCAAGTAAACAAGCTCTGTAAGCACCACTAAAACCTTTGATGTAAGATCTAATCTCAGCTTCTCCCATGCAGCATTAGCTAGTGATGACAAACATGCCCCAAAGCTTCAGTGCACTATGGCACTAACTCCAGAAGTTGCTTTTAAAGGTATTAATCCAATTAAAAGAAACTCCAAAAAACACCCAGAATTGCTACAGTTCAGAGCTTCTGATTTGAAGATCATCTACTACCAGCCTGTTCCTCGTGCTGTAAACTAGGAGAGTGGGGATTTTACATTTCCTTCCTCACCTCTAAATGTTCATCAGTATCCAACTTCAGAAGTGGCACTTCCCATGTTTACCAGGCTCCAAACAAGACTAAGCAAATCTATTCAGAGCATCTCCATTTTTTTCTTTGTTTAGAGATGGTAAGTTTAAAACATCTATTAAAAAATAGCCATCCTATCATATATCACTCCTAGAGTTGCATCATAAACACTTCCCTGTTTCTAGACCCCAGGCAGGAACTACCCCACAAAGACTGTTTAATCTACCAGCCTCACCAACACAGAGACAGCCTTCATCCCAACCCAAAAGATTTGAAGCTGATGTGCTACAAATTCATCTCAGGATGGAGGACTTTCATTCACACGATGTGAGTTCAGAAACAGTTACAGCCCAACCATCAGCCTTTTCTGATGAAGTCTAGAAGGCTGAAGACTTCAGTCCTGAAGATTGTTAGGCTTTGAAGTCCAACACCCCCAACCGTGCTCACCTCTGCAGCTCTCCCCTTTCACATTAAGTCATGGGGCTGACACAGGAGTTTTCTTTCTCCTCTCATTTTCCTGATATTCGCTCTGCTTTTTCAGCTCCCATGTTTTTCTTGCCTACTGAAACTATTTGCATTTGCATTGCAATAATTCAATATGAGATTTTTACGCAGTCGCATAACTCCCCGAGTTAGGTCCTTCCAAAAGAATGACAGTTAAGAAAACTCACAGTTTGTGACACACTGCTACACAGATCACAGGCAGAAGGTCACCAGACTCTCACACCATTCCACCTCCAGTCTGGGGCCCCTGTGATGTGAGTGGTGACTTACCATGATTTGGATTTCTCTTTTGCAGACTTGCAAGTCATACTCATTGTTGACGTACATCCGCTTCAGGGCACATTTCATCCCATTGTTAGTTCTCACCAGAAACACTATGGCAAATCCACCTGCAAGGACACAAGATCATCCTAGTCATTAACAAGGAAGCCCCTTGGTCTTGACTTCCCACCCTGTCCCTGTCTCCACAGTACAGGCAGAAGTAGGAGGGCACTCAGCAACTACAACAGAGCTACACATGCTTAGCTCCAGAGCTTCCAACCCTGCCTAGACAGTTACTTCTGGGAACTAAGAGGAATCCAGAGGGGCAAATCTTCAATTAATTACAGTTAACATTTAACATCTCCATAAAAACATACAATTACATCGGTTACTTGTCCTGCCAGACAGCCCTACATTGCTCCATGAATTTCCATTACAAAGAAGAAAGCTAAAGCTTGAACAGAAACCAGAGCTACAGATCACCCACTACTGAAGAGCCTCAATTTAAAAGGCCTCCCAGCTTCTGAAGCATCTGAGTTACATTGCAAAGCTGATTTGTGCAAGAAGCAGAAGCAACCTGTCTCCACTCATGGTTTGATGTTGGTGCTTTTAAAAAAGGAGGGAAGAACACACAAAAGAAAAATCAAACCACAGTTCATTTTGTGGTCATTGCTATTAGTAAAGTCAGGACTCCCAGGAAATACTTGGCTTATTTAGGATGAAAGCCTTTCATCTCTGCTAGCAATGCAGCAAAATATATGGGTTTTACATTTGTCCTGGACAGAAATAGGAAGCTGACTGAAGGTGGAACTACCACAGGCATCAGAGTTTCTCACCTGAGAACAGCATGAATCAGAACCGAGAGTCACAGAGATCCAACAGCAAGAAGTGCTGCACAATGGTGACAAGGGAAGCACAGTGACCATGTTGATGCCACAACCCACCAGAACTTCATTTGCTCCCTGTTACCTTACAGCACCTGTATCTTTCATGCTTAAGGATTCATAAAGCATCAGCTCAATGAATGCTAAGCTGTGATTCAGTGCTGCTGTAGTCCTCAGAAGCCCCACGACACCAAGGACTGTAGTTACACACCATCAGAAAAAAGAGTCACATCCCAAAGAATCCTCCTTTTATTAGTCTGAGCCCTTTGGTGAATTGCATTTTTTATGTGTTGCCAGAAACAATCAGATCAACAATACATACATAGTTACACTACACGTGTTTCTACATAATTACTACTAATAGTTATTTGGTACTTCACCGAGTTCCTCTGCATCCTGTAAAATGTGACAAGCAGGACAGCCACATTTGGGTAGAAATTTCATGTTAAAATAGGTTGCACTTGATAATGTCAGTCCTGCAACAATTGGTGCTTACAAGATGTGAACAAATCAAACACTACAGCCAAAAGGCCCACTGAAGTGTTTACTAAAACTGGTATTTATTTTTACTAAGATTGAAAATGAGCAAATGACCAGACAACACTGGATGTTATCTACCCACTTGTTATCAAACAGCTTTTATTACAGCCCATCTTTCAAAATAACCACAGAAGTTACACATGCAAATAGCATGCCTGTCAGCACCAGAGCTGCTACAACAAAAACTTCTCTTAGCAGGCAAAACCCTTCATTTTACACATCATCATTTGCCACAGGAACCAGACTAGGTTTTCCAGGAAGCCCCACTGACTCTTAGGAGCAGAATTAAGGGGTAGCAGCTCCAGAGAAGCTGAAAAAAAAAGCAACAGGAAGAAGATAAAAAGAAATAAAAAGAAAAAAAATGTGTCAAGACTTCAATTAAAGATCTTAAAAAACTATACCCAGCCTGCAAAATGGATATTCCAACAACACAGGCCTGGGACAAAAGTCACACAGATGCTGCTCATTCCTGCCAAATAGAGTTTTATAGGAGCATAGAATGGTGAGGGTTGCAAGAGACCTTAAAGATCATCAGGCTGCACAAAACCTCATCCAACCTGGACTTAAAAACACCTCCAGGGAGGTGTTTCAAAACCCTTCTAGTTCTGGAGGGCCTCATTTCTTCATAGCACTTAAATTCAGACCCAAAAATAATCTCTACTCTCTCCCTGATGCTGCCTCAAGTCGAGGATCTCATACTACAACTCATTTTTAAGAGCTCCTAAGCCCACAGCAGTGGCCTAGCCATGTTTGTCTCATTTCTGGAGAGCAAACCTGGACATCCTGCTGTGCCATCTTCAGCCCAAAGGATGTCTGTTCGATCTTTAAGGTCCCTTCCAATCTTAACTATTCCATGATTCCATGGTGTCTATGCAGAGAAAAGCATGACAGCACTAGAAGGATTTTTCCTCATCTCTTACAGCTCACAATGAAGCCAGTAAGAAATAAGGGACTCACACCATCACCTCTTCCTAAATCCCAACTTTCTTAACATATTATGCTTTTTAAAATCATTGCAGAGATCAGATTTGGACTTTTTTATTTTTAATTTCTGTACATTATTTCCGTGGACTACACATAAAACCTAGTGAAAATATTAGGCAAAAAACCCTATTATTTTTTATTACAGAGCCTCAGCCATCATCAAAGCTTTTCGGGAATCACAGTATTCTTTTTAAGTGAGAAAGTCAGAAGTTGTCCATCAGAAGCCTGTCCTGCTCCCTAGGGGTTCAGTTCCCCTCCCATAGCTCCACCTGCCAGGCTTGGAAGCCAGCAGGACATGGGAGCTCTGGTTACAGCACTATGCCCAACAAAGAAACAGGAGATGAGCAGCAAAAAATGGATCAATTAAAACTTTTATAAAAAATATTAAAAAAAAAACAAACAACCAACAGTATATTAAATTCAAGGATCTTCTAGATGTTTGCTTCAGCTGAAATGGCACTGGAGCCTCTTCAGACCAACTGCTCATGTCTTATTAGCACAGTTTTGGGCAAGATAACTTGCCTCTTACTTGGATTCTATGCTAATTAACAAAGTCACTCCTAGAGCACCCTCACTAGATTATGGACATCATGTTATTTTGCTTACAAGCAGCCAGAGCCAATTGGCAAAGAAAATTATGGTCTATGCAACAAAGAACATGGCCAAACTATCCCAACAGTGCAAAGGAAGAGGTGATTTAGAATCTAACCAAATGAAAATTAAGTTAATGCTTTCTGATACAGGACTGCAACATCAATGTAGGAACCTGACAGAAATATGGCCTGGAACATCTTCCAAATGGAACAGCGAGACATGAACAGGTCAGGAGCTGCATCCAAGGAGGAGGAAGCTTGTAGCACCTGCAGAGTCGTCACAGTACTTCCACAGGAGAATCACATCCTCCCATCCTGCTCTCCCTTACCTTTAACTTCTGCAAACTTCAGCTGACACACTGAAGCTGTGCAAAAACATTTAACTTATTATGTCTGCAAATACACCTACCAATTTGGTTCCTTCATTATTAAACTCCCACTGACTGCAGATTAAAGCCTGACAATTTTGGTACTAGTGAAAGCAGCATGCTTTTCTCCAAAGAAAACAAGCCGTGATTTAATCAGGGTACACACAGTAATTTTTACACAGCAATCTAAAGTAAGTAACTTTGCCATCACAGAAGCAAAATGTGATGATCCACATTCAGAGTACAAAGCCTTACTTCCCAAACAACTAATACAGCTTCTAGCCTGGTTGCCTCCAAACTATATTGCTTCCAAACTATAGTTTACTGAGTTTACAAGTTTGGTCTGTTAGTTCAGACAGGCACAACATAATCAAGAATGTCTTAACTTCCCTCAGGTAGTCATTCCACACTTAAATCACAAGAGGTGTGAAAAATGCCACCCTTGTTTGAATTTCTCTGCATGTATTACACCTTCCACTGCTAATTGGGTTCAGTGCTCCCAGTTCTGCAGGCAGAGAACAGTAAAAGAGCAGGAGGATGAGGGAAGTGGAAAGGAACAAAGAAGAGCACAGAGAACAGCAGCTTCTTGCCACAGTCCTGATGTACAAGTGGCTCTGGAAACAGAAGATCCAAGCCCATCAGCAGGATGTAAAAGCCACGCAAGACGTTCAAGAACTGAGAACATACTGAGAATATCTGAATATCTGACTGTCTGGAAATGGCAGGGATGCCTTTGGTGGTCTATGCCTAGGCCTAGAGAGAGACTTCCTTCTCCATATCTCACACACAATGGACGATTTTGAAGCTCTGGTCCATACTTCACCCTCCCAGGTCCCTCACACATTTATTACTGGCTGCATCCTGCCCAAGAAAATGGCACTGGCTCAAAACTGCACTGCAAAGAAGGTTAACAATGACAGCACATCACAGAATCACAGAATCGTTAAGATTGGACATGGTCCTAAAGTCAGGACTTCAGGTGTGTAAGTAGGTTACTAGCTAATACACCTGGAATATTTTTAAGCACTTGAAACCTTTTAATTGGCAACTGTGGCCAATACTTCAGATTTATGCTAAAAGAGGAGATCCAGAGGACCTCTGTGCCTACGGACACCCCAAAAGCAGCAACTTCATTGGGAAGCAGCAGACAGAAAATCCATTTGACCTTTTCCTGCAAGGTAACACAGAGAAGACAGGAAGAAGGACCCAACAGAGGGATGAAATTTTCAGTTGGCAGCACTAGACAGCCCAGAGGAGCAATGCTGTTCAGCACAGCCTGGGAAGGGACCAAGCTACCAAGAACCTGGACTGCAGCCAGCACGGCCTGACAAAGACTTCCTAATGGATTTAAGGGTTTTATTTCACCTTCCATGCAGCATTACACAGAAGACAACTGACCTGTTTGCAGAAACTGATGGGTATCTTTCTCCTATAGGTTGGACACGTCTGGGTAAGGACATGTCTTACCCAGCTCTAGTCACCATGTACTGAACAGGCAGGTTTTGCTTAGACAAGTCACCCAGCACTCACCTGGACTCCAGTGACTTTTCACAGTATCATGCTGAAATTAATACACTTAATTTTGCTTTTAACTACCTTGCTAAACAGCTGCCCCCCATCGGTTCACCCTTTCTCCTTGCACATTGTGTATCTACAACATTACCACCTCACCAGGCTCAAGGACTACTTCTAGTTTCCAGGGCCTCAGACCATAACCAATTTCTTCCTCTTTATTCCAGCCCAACCCCCAACT